AAACCAGACCAAGTTACAGGCCAGATCTGTGGAGAGACGATCCCGCTCAAAGTCAGAATGTCTGTTTTTCTAGATATTTTTGAGCTATAAAACCACCTGCAATTGAATAAATGTAAAGTAGAGCTGTTTAATGTCATACTGTGGAACAGGTGGATAAAACATTTTTAAATATATTTTAAAGGATTTTATGAATTTTCTGTTCAATCCTTTGTTTAGGGATATATTAGTTATGTATTTCAGTTAAGAGGAATTTGAATAGACAAACCTGTGAGCTATTTGTATTGTTTGTATGTGCGTGTGTTTATGTTTCACTCTGTTCTGTTTAAAGAAGACCTATTATAGTTGTGTCTGCTAAATACTTATAATCTGACACCCGTGGATCATTATGTTAGTATTTTGACATTTTAGAATCACAATATTCATCTAAAACAATTTAATAAAAGATGCAAGTCTGCTGATTTGCGTTAAAAAGTGCAGTGCCCAAACATAATCACAACAAAGAGCCCCGCAGATGTCGGCCCCTCCTATGGATAGCTGTACATCACCATCACTAGCAAGTAAAATTTATTTTCATTTATACCAAAATTACTATACAATGTGTGATTAAATAAGGAAAAATTGGAGAGGGAAGTAAGTACAAAGCAGTGGGTGTATGCCAGTGGTGGTGCCATGTTACACTATTTTATCATCTATGTTTTAATGTTGTTTCCTCATCACAAACATGCCTAGAGTTGTGTTATGATTCATACATGTTCAACACACAAACCTTGCATAATTAGGCGGAGTTCTTCTCTCAAACAGAAAACACTCTGTTCCATCTTGTGATGTCATGTGGTAATACAGGAAGCGCTCCACTGTGTCCATAATTTCAGCCCTGGGATTGCCAATTTTTACTAAACAAAGGGGTAGCTATAAACTTGAAAACTACCACTACATGACATCGTAAGGTGGAACTGAGCATGTAGACAGACTAATAATAAAAGATCACTCAGACATGTGTGAATGAAAAAAACACACAAATACAACTCCAGGTATGTCAATTTTGCATAATATAGGACCTTTAAAGATTACTCAAACATGAATAATGCATGCATCACTCTGAATACAACTCTGGGTGAGTCAATGGTGTGGGGAAACAACTATAACATGTGAAAAGCTCTGAAAAGTCTGTTTAGTTGATCAAATAGTTCTGCTTCAACATACATATCATATCATATCAATAAATATTTGAAGTTTATGGAGCATTTACCTTAAGAGACAGTGTCCCCCTCACAGCCACCAGCACGGCCTCTCTCTTGTGATCCAGCGCCACAAAGAATGGGATCTCATAAATCTGTAGAGAGCAACACCTCATTAGATATGGAATGTATGGAATTGTTATTAAAAAAGGGGGTACCTGGTTGTGGAAGCTAACGTGGATGAAGTCCCGGTATTGTAAACCAGTGCTGTGCAGGATGGAAGAGAAGTGACAGCCAAGATGGTCTCCTCCCACGATCTCATACTCAGCTGTTTGACTTCTACAGCTGAAATATACAGCATTTGTATGTAATGTAATATAACTCAGGTACAAACTACTTCTATGCTCAGTGTCGAGTGAAAATGTGTGTTCGCATTCAAGTTAAACATGTACGAACAGATCGCCATATTAAAGCTAAATTATCCAGTTTTTCCTCTTCCCGTCTTAACATGTCCTCAGGATATAGCTAAGGTTTTATATTTTATTACTTATTTTTCCATTTTATTTTAACTTGTACACATAAATTTATATAATAATGCCTTATTTGACACCTGTCTCTTTTTTTGCTACTTATTTAGAATTTATTATTACCATTTATATTTTTTTCTTTGTGATGTGTGAGCTATTGTGTCCAAATAATTTCCCTTGTGAAAAGTTTGCCTAAGTCCAAGTCTAAATTATAAATAAGTACATTTTTCATGCATTGTAAAACTGAAGCTGATCTTTGGGACAAATTTCAGGTCACTGGATCTAATTATAAAATCTTACGGCTATTTCTCACAAGTTTGAGATCTACAAGGTGAAAGGATGAAAGATGACTGGCGATCCATCTTGTTTCACTCAGTCCTGATGTAGACTTTGATCCAGTTCTAGTCCTATTCTAGTTCTATTCTAGTTCTACTCTAGTTCTGTTCTAGGCCAAGTTTAGAGCCGTGCTTAGTCCTAATTTTGTGAGTGTGAGTAGCATAAGCCATTCTTACCAATCTTTACTGAGTTTACAGGGCCCGGTCAGAGGGTTGGAGTAGATGTACAGGGGCCATCCATAAGCAGCTGCCGCAAAGTGCATACAATGAGTCGCCTTCTCCAGCTCGGTCTCCAAGTCCTCCCCCTGCAGTACAAAAACAGGAAATGTCAACATAAAATGAAATCTCAGTGAAAAACTGATTACACAAGTAAACTGAATGTACTGACAAGTGGGGAGGAGGGGCTGTGGGTTGTTACGGAGTCTGGATCTCTGCTCTGCTCCTTCTTGTCCTGCTCCTGGTGCAGCAGAGCCAAACCAGCTGCGATGTCACTGGGAACAAGGTCTGTGTCCTGTCACACACAAATAACAGGTTAATGCATACTTAGGACAGACCATTATGGCTCTTATTTCATGCAACGCTCATCCACTTTCATCCAAATATTACAATATTTTTGTGTCCAATAAACATTATGTACTCATTAATAAAATAATTGTGCATAGTTTAATTAGTGTCTTCTCTGACCTTTTTTTTTTTTTTTAATATATATGTTATTTTTTATGAAGCAGCTGTTGCTTTGACAGTGTGAACATAGTGCACTAGAAGTTTTCAAATGATACAACCAAAATAAGATGAATACTTTTCAAAAAATATATAAAATCCAATAAAATTTTGGTAAGTCAAAAAACAATTGCACACGTCTGCCAAATATGAAATGGTACAGAGTAATCTAATTTTAACAATGATTTACTAGCTCATAAAATATCTTAAAACATAAGGAATGTTATTGTCTACATTTGAGTGAAATGTCAAGTCTAACCTATCAACAAGAAACAAGTTTGAATTGTTCTCACTGGGACAATGGAGAAGGCCCGGTTGAGGATGCCATATATTTAGCAGAGTAATCAAATTTTAACAATAATTTATTGTGTTACAAAACATGTGTAGCTGGATACAAGTGATCCAAAACCATATATTGTTTAGTGTGACCTGGTCCTTACAGAGAAGAATCCGCTGACGAGCTGGGCGATACTGGAGAAGGCTGCTCTGTGGCTGTCGTCCTGGGGCAGACAGCAGCAGAGCAATTTGAGGCGGCTCTCCCACACCTTCACGGCCAGAGAGCGTGCTGTGGACAGAAACTGGCTCCCCTCGCTGCTCTCCATGTCCCTCACTCCCAGGGGCTCCATGGGGGCCTGCCCACGACGAGTGCTGCCCAGAGGGTCGAAAACAAACACCACGCCCACAGCAGTGAACAGCAGGATGATCCAACTGCGGGGAAGGTGGAGGGAAGCGGTTAGACAGGTCATCTGGAAATTCATTCTGATACCAGTAAGTCTTAAACGATAGTGGAAATCCCACAATAGAAAACCATACTTAAGTCAATGGAAAGAACTCTTCCCAAATATGTCCCCAGCTATGATAATTTGCTGAATTTCTCCTCCTACTCTTCATCCCCATTTCTCACTTACATCTGTTCAGCTTAAAACTGGTGATGTGTATCAAAAGAGTTAGTTTCTTAGATCTTCGTCATCTGTTGCAGCAGTTGACCAAATTTTTTCTCTGGCAAAAAGAACATTCATTATCATTTGAAAGGATGCAAATTCAACCACAAAGGGACTCAAACCCTCAATCTTCTTATCCAAAGTCAGACACCTTATGCATTAGGTCATGCAGTCAGGGGCTCACACAAGTCAAGAGAGCAGGGGGGAGGGGCAGGAGGGGACCAATCTGACAAACATTTTTTGTGAATTTACAACAATACAATACAATACATTTATTTTTACATTTGACTCGCCTGTAACATATTTAAAAAACTAAATATTAAAATATATTTGAAAACTAAATCAATATGTAATTAGATATGTATTACATATTCTTTCGTATTATGAGACTTATCTGAATCATGAAGTAGCTCAAGTCTTGTAATACAAAATGTACTGTAAGATAACTAATCAAGTCTCTATTTTAAACTCACCTGGCAACAACAGCCGCAATAACCGCCCACACAGTGGCAGGGTCGCACCCTTTGCCATCATCAGACACCCACACTGCCCCAAGACAGGCCCAGGCCAGCTCCGGCAGGTACAGGAGAGCTCGCAGGTACACCAGAGCAGTGATGGAGCGGCGTGGACCAGGGTTTGTAATAGTGCCTACAAAAAAACTTTTTATTAGAGAAAAGGCTGGCTTCACAATCATATCAAAGTCACAAATTCAATGGTCACAAATTGTTAAGACTGCCATTCTTTAAGTCCTTTCCTAATCTTTTCTATGCAAACTGAAGAGCAATTAGGCAAAAAATATGGCTGTGTATATTTACACAATTATGCTTTTTTATATCACAGAGAGGTACATTTGTTATTTTTAACAAAGATGAAAAAAGTAAAAGTGAATATTATTATAGCTTAACTTGCCATACATCTTAAATCTTAATATCAGCATCAGCCACAACAACATAAATATCAGATATTGGTATCGGCTCGAGAGGTGGGTAGAACCTAGGCTACATTTACTAAATTCTCTTTTCATGCAGGATACTTTTATTCCCACTTGAGTAATATTTTTTTATTGAAGTAACAGTACTCTTGAGTAAAGCTTCTTGCAACACAACTTTGTGCTTCTACTTGAGTAATGTTATTTTGAAGTATTTTTAAGGTTTTAGTACAATTTTTGGCTACTCTGTCCACCTCTGAAGAGCTGTGACCATCCCTCAAAATAACTCTAATAACTGTAAACATTGGATAATGTTACAGTTCTACTGGCATTTGTTTAGGGTGACCAGATTTTCAGAATAAAAAACTGGGACATCCCTGGTTTGGGGTGGTTGGTAATAATAAAATCGTGCAACGAGTGCATAATTAAGGAAAAATTTTTGCACTCATACACTCGGCACTAATGTGGGTCAATATAGTCACATTTTCTTTGTGTTTTTGTCATTTTTAAGCAGGGCTTAAAACTGGAATTGTCCCAGGTAAATAGGGACATCTGGTCACCCTACATTTTTTCAATCCTTTGTTACCTTGTGCACTGACGTAGACAATAGCCGCTAATGAGAAAATGATGAAACCAAGGATGACCAACAATCCAATAACGTAGCTGTGAAGCACTCCTCCGCCGCCGCAGTCAAAACGTCCTTTATGATAAGTGTACAGAATGAGCGCGCTAATCCACCTGCACAAACACACACATTACGATTAGACATTTCAAATCACGTTTATCAGTGACACAATACTGATCAAGTTCACATACCAGAGCACTCGGACCAGCATTTCAAAAGATCCAGGGAAAACCAGATCGTCACTGGCGATGCCCCAGCGCCGACCGAAAGCCACCATCCCCGGCATGGTGAAGGAAGGAGACAGCGCTGATCACTGACAGCTAATGTTTTTCACCACCGCCACTGTTTCTCAATATTGTACTCTACCGCATGATTTCACATCCAAACGACCACACCTCGATGATAAGCGTAGTCCATGTCCGCTGTGGATTAGTCTATTTACTGTCGCTGTCTGCTATGGAACTAGTTAAAAGGCTAGCATGCGCGATCGCCGACCTAATCTGAACATTTTTATCTAATTTGAAATAAATAAAATTGACTAGGACCAGGTAGATGATAGCCAGAAGCCTGTCACACCTACCGGAGGACTCGATGTCGCAATTAATTGATGGGATTATTCACTCTGTGACTCTCGTGACTATCTTTAGCTTGTAGCGTTAGCTTAAAATCTTATCTGCAGGTTTACACGTGTTAATAGTGGCCCTACGTGACAGTAGTATAAAAATATGTAATTCAAATTAGATATACGTTAATTTTTTTTGTTTGTTAGTAATGTATAAAACGGTTTTGTTCAAATTGAAGTAGCTGGGCTGTTTTGTTTTGCTTACCAGCTGTGACCATTTGGATAATGCCCCCTACTGGAACAAACACTATCAAACAAAGGTTCCGCTTCATTATATTTTAGGTAACCGCGCCCTGGTATGATGTCAGTTTACTCATATTGATTTTGTTTTATTTATTGTTTATTTGATTATGATGCAGGTATCAGCCAAAGCTAGTTATTTTAACATATTTCTAGGGCTTTTAACATATTTCACAAAATGCAATATTAGTTGTGCTTTTCAGGTCCATCATATCACTACAAAACAGGGGAGCTATTGATCCAGGAGGTCAGGGACACATTAATTTGACATTTGACCCCACACAGGTCAAACTTTAGATGGGGGAGGGGCTAGAGCACACCGATATGGCCAGACATTTACAAAACAGAGAGAGGTACAACTGTGAAATAGTACACCAGCCTCACAGCAAGAAGGTCCTGGAGCCACTGGATCAATCACAGGGCAGCGCTGTGGCTTGAGGAAGACTCTGGTAGTACAGGTGAGAGACGTCCCACACTGTGATGTGCGTATTGCGATGAAAAGAAAGCAGATGAGATCGACTGATTCGTTACAGGTCAGATCTGTGAAGAGGCAAACCTATTCGCAGTAAGAATGTATTTTTCAAGGTAGCCTACTTCATTTTAGCAGTATTATCTTGTAATTGAAAATAACTGAAAGCAGGTTTCAAAATGTGAAGTTTGGAGCGAGATTCCTCACTTTTCTTGTTTTGCGAAAGCAATAGTACCATCTGCTGTGCAATTTGTGTTGTGGTAGTGTTATTTTGTTTGTTTGTTTTGTTTTTTGTTAGAAAAAAGTGTAGTCTTAAATTCCACCGCTGGAGGGCAGTGTATGATCTCGAAACTGTTTCTTGCATGAACAAAGGTTTTACAAATCTAATTTAATCTCATTTAATATAATAATAATAAAATATATTCATTTTTACATAATTTACAACGCTATAAATCAATGGCACTTGACATGAAATACAAATAAATAAAACAGTGACAAAAATACCAGCGAGGGGTCTCAAACAAGAGTATTGAAGTTGTAGGACACATTTAGACATTACTGATCCACAAGGGAAATTACTTGGACACAGTAGCTCACACATCACAATATAATATAATAATAACAAAGAGTAAAAAAAAAAAAAAAAGTTTGTTACTTTTCTTTGACAAATAGTCACTGCATGATCTGTACATAAGGGTGAGTTGTTGTACGGTTATAGGGAGTATTATCTGTAATAAAAGGATGAGTTGTTGTACAGTTGTATGGAGTATGACATTCAATATAGATATCATCTATAGAATATGCGTTTTTCAATATTTTGGATAAAAAGTGGTCCAATGCGCAAGCACGTGGTTCCATGGTGTAATGGTTAGCACTCTGGACTCTGAATCCAGCGATCCGAGTTCAAATCTCGGTGGAACCTACGTTTTTGTTCATGCTTATTTACCACTGAGTCATCAACATACCTAACATATAATAACATTTATAATTAAATTTTTACAATAGCATTTCTAATACATTTTATACGCAATACGCCAACCATAGAACTAGAATATCACCCCAACTGCCCGTGCTCTGGCGTTGTCTTTGCAGCTCTGTTTTGAAGCGTCAAAAACGTAACGACGTCATTTGAACATGGCGGCGCACGTAGCTCGACAATCTTTATTATTTTGTTTCAGATCAAGAGTGGTACATGGCATTTACAATGAAACACAAGCACAGGGTAAAGTAGTTAAACAAATAAGCAATAGTTTTAAGTTATGCGCGACTTATGGAGTCAAAGGGATGAATCCTACTCAGGTCAGCGCAGCGATACTACTGAAAGCATCAAGTATGAATATAGTTTACCATGTCTGGAAACTGTTGAAAGGTTAATCTGTGTATTTTATTTTTATTTTTAGGAGAGTTCAGTGCACATTCCAGTCGGTGAATATCCACAGACAAATTGCGTGTTTTTAAAATACTTTAGTTTGTTTTTTCTCATTAATGTATGCTGTCTTTTTTATTTTAGAGAGACTAACAGTGTCTTACAGCAGAAGCAGTGGCCCTGGTGGTCAACACGTCAATAAAGGTATGGATTTTTACATTTTGTTATAACCTGTATGTTAATCATTTCATTTCTGTACTTTGATGTGATAGCCAATACTTTTGTGGCAATCTTTTTGTTCAGTAAACACAAAAGCTGAGGTCCGATTCCATGTGCAAACTGCTGACTGGATCCCAGAAGATGTCAGACAGAAAATTCTGGAAAAGGTGACTTCTACCAGCTTTATTAGTGTTTTATTCCTTATATATTAAGTGTTTAACCTCACTGTCTTATACTCACTATCTTATGCTGCACAGAACAAAAACCGAATCAATAAGTCGGGGGAGCTTTTGGTGACGTCAGAGGTGAGCAGGAGTCAGCACAGGAACCTGAGTGACTGCATACAGAAGATCTCCGACATTATCACAGAGGCCACAGAAAAACCATATGAGCCTACAGCAGAGGATATAGCCCTGAGAGCAGCACGGTACTACCACGTTATAAGTATTTTATGTATACTTAAGTCATGATTAAGGCAGTATTCTCCCTTCAGGTTGGAGAAGAGGAACAAAGAAAGGCTAAAACAGAAGAAAATGGCATCAAACATCAAACAGAGCAGAAGAGTGGGCTTTGACTGACATCTACAATTACAAGTGTACAAGTGTTCAATGTTTAGTATGTATTGTATGTATCTAATCTAATCTAATTTATTCCTTGTTCTCTTGGGGCAAATATAATTATATTTCATACAGAATAAAACCATGATGCTCTCACAACTACATTGTTTGTCTGTCTGTGAATAACCCATATTACTGAGTTTCAGATGACATGAGAACATTCTATAGGCCAGTAGTATTTAATACAGATGGGTATAGTTGAAATTGTTAAAAGAAACAATCAGGTCCATTTGTGCATTTGCCTTTTGGATATTTTAGGACGAAGTACTATGTAATCAATGGGGAAAACAAGGTTTTGACCCCCATCAGGGATTATGACCCAATAAAGGTCTGAAATATGAAAACAACTTAATTTCTTAAACTGGTATTTCAGTTTTTCCCAGAAGATGTCAGACAGAAAATTCTGGAAAAGGTGACTTCTACCAGCTTTATTAGTGTTTTATTCCTTATATATATTAAGTGTTTAACCTGACTGTCAAGGTCTGAAATATGAAAACAACTTCATTTTTTAAAATGGTATTTCAGCTTTTAATTTCTATGAGGCTGACCTATCGTGAGTAGACCCTTTATAATGATTAACTAGATTGAGAGAAGAAAAAAAAGCTCTTAGCAGAGGATGGTTTCGATCCATCGACCTCTGGGTTATGGGCCCAGCACGCTTCCGCTGCGCCACTCTGCTGATGAGAACAAGGGGAGGGGCCACGGTTTATAAAAGATTTTCAGAGCACATGTGGTACAAGTTTTAGTCAGTAGGTTAATAATATAGGATTGTAATTCTAAGTTTATTCGAATTGCTGGGTTTCCGATGATATCGCAACATTCTATTTCACAACATCCTCAAATTACTACTATTTTTAAAATGCCTATTTCTACTGTGTGTTCTTGAGTCTTGTCAACAACATACATTAACGGGTTGGGTTCGACGTTTGTGCTTTTTCTTTTGGATTTTTCATGACAAAAATGACTCCTGCTCCCCATCTGAGAGTATGGCTGCGTCACATTCTAGAATCTGAAGATTTCCTACAGGGTTTTGGCCATGTGTGTAATGCCAATTCGGGTCTTGCATACCTGCATTACATTTCCTACACTGTGTATGGATCGGACGCAATATAAAGCAATTAGTACATGATTCATATAAAAAAAATCTCAAGCGGGTCTCCATTTCAAAATGCGACCACGAAGGGACTCGAACCCTCAATCTTCTGATCCGAAGTCAGACGCCTTATCCATTAGGCCACGCGGTCAGATCCAGTGTCTACGTCATGCCAACCGTAGAAAAAGTACAGACACAAACGGCATGAGAAAAACAAGATGTTAAAAAAAAACATTTATTGTTCGATTATCAATCGAGATAATCAAGTACTAATTATCCATAATCACATATTTATCACACATTTTCACATTACATGAATCCAGACTGCGTAGGGCCTTTACATTGTTTAATGGGTAACTTCTCTTAAAGAAGGAATCCAGTCCTAAAAGATAATATATAACCTTTACTTTGCACAAAAATTTTTCACATCCACAGTTTCACATCGTTATGGTCAAATTGATGCATAATCGAAAAGTTGTTCATGGATGTGATGGTCTGCTGATAGTGAAGAATAAATAATTGATCAGTTTGCTTACAACAATAAAATATTTAATAAAAGTTGTAAATTACATATACATACAGTTTTAGTGACATTCACAATTAGGCACCAAAAAGTTGCAAAAATATTAAGACAAGTTCACACACAAATAAATACACAGTACATATTGAGCAACCCTATTCCGCCTATTTATCTTAAGACTTTAAGACTTTGTCTGGGAAAGTGAAGACAGTACAAAGAGTTTGACTAAAATGAGGCACATTCTATTAACACATTCTGATCCATTTTCCAGAACACTTACACTTTGCATTTCAAACGTTAATTTTCTCTCAACATAAGACACTCCATTCTTTCATATAATTGGTTTACTCACTTGTCTGGACTACAAACACAAATGGCACCTACTTCTTGTCAACATTTGTGTAAATCATCATAATAGTAAAGGGTTGTGTGTGCACAGTTTTAAGAACCCCTGTATAACGTATCTTATATAAAATATGAAAATAAAAGACAATACATTGGAAACAACTTGCACAGTTCATCTTTGCAAAGCCTACTCAAATGTTTATTAGTCTGGTATAATAATTAGCAAAACATATTATTAGGAGTGGTGTTAAATCTAGTAAGGCATCAGTAAAAAACATTGTCTAAACTAAGAAAAGATAAAAGTTGTTGTTATAAAGTTGAGAAAGTACAAGTCTAATTTTCAATAGCACTGGCACTCCCAGGTGGGTCGTACTGAGCATACTAACCTGAGAGGTACTCATAAAATGTATTTTTTTTCTTATCTAATAACACTAATGAGAAAGCACATACTAATTTGATTGGATAAGCCATTATAGAGTTCAGGAATACAAATATTTCTACCTGATTAATTATAATAAATAGTTAAATAACAGGTTAGAAAAGACCAGTTAGGGAGCATTTTTAGATGGGAAAACAGTTGATTATATTACATGCAATACATTTTCTGTGCTCCCAGTGCAACCCCTTCCTCTCAGCTCAATTTAACACTGAAATAATGCAACTCTGATGAGATAACTTATTTCTTGCAATAGATTAGTGTTGTCACAATGCTAAAATTTTAAACTCAGACTTTGATACTAAGGAACAGACTTGATACTCGCTACCGACGATAGTAAAAAAAACACTTTACTTAGACAGTAGAATGTCATTTTCGACATTAAATCGTAGTATTCTTTTATAGTACCGTGTGCCCTTATATCTGTGTAATGCGTCAATTGTCCAGGTAGGTTCCATGGTGGTCCATACCAGTCTATGTGGTCTTATTCAGGCTAAAGCTATTCAGGAAAAGTTGATTTCTGTCCTCGAATGTGATTTTTTAGTATTGATACCTGCTCAAATGAGTATCTAGTTTCGACACTAGTTTTAGTATCAATTAGTATCTGATTTTTGATATGTTGTCAACCCTAGTTTGGACATATAAGGTACAGTGTGATTGGTCTAACAAATACACACTTCAAACTCCACCCCTGCAGCCACGTGTTTCTGATTACATACAGGACTACATGATGTCATGTAGTACTTGAAACTGCACTGGCCACTGAAGGCGGCAGTTTACCAAATGTACCTAGTTTGCACAACAATTGCCAAAACTAGGAACTAGGACTAGAAACAGTACACAATGCTATTCAAACACCATGTACACAGTTTAGTAGCAAAAACACAGTTAATTTAGTGTTTGCTAGATTTGCCTGATTTCCCTTTCGCTTTAGCTGCTTTGGTGGCTTTGATGTCCATCTTGGTCTTCTGGATGCGTGAGAAGATCTCCTTGAACAGCGTCTTGTACTCAGGCGTGTTCTGCCCTAGCCTCTTGTCCACCGCCTCCACCTGCCTGCTGATGCTCTCCATGGCCTCGGGGGTGGAGGGCGACTCCTGTGTGGGCGTGGTGGGAGGCGGGGCCGGGATGGGAGCCATGGCGGCGCAGTCTTTCATGGAGGGGTCGCGGGACACTGGGCGAGACGTCTGGACCTCCGCGTGGCACAGGCTCTCCTCGTGGCGCCTGCATTTGCCCAGGAGCTCTTCGTACTTCTCAAGCAGGGCATGGTACTGCTCATCCACCTCACGCAGAATGGACATGCCCCGTTTGCGCACGCTGTTGGCATGGAGAGCGTAGCTGCCCCTCCTGCGGCCTGAAGGGTCCCGGGCCACGATGGCGTTCAGGGCGGTGTCACTACAGCTCTTTCTCACGGGGCTGGAGTCGGGTAAGGTTTCTCCCCCCGGACCTTGGCCGTTCTGGGTGGTCTCCCGCACACCACCTCCCTCCTCCGCATCACCCTCTATGAAGGTGTCAGTCTCGGGGGTGCTTTGGAGCACGGTCTGGGTTAGGGTGAGTCCATCCTCGTCATTGCTCAAGAGGTAGGTGCGTGCACGACGAAGCTGCTGTAGCTCAAGGAGTTCCACCTCCAGCTCACGCACACGTGCCTGGCAGCTCTCAGCATCCTGCAGGAGAAGGAGCACACAAAGAGAAGTCTACTACACAACTATAAAACTACTGAAGCTGTAGGAACCACAACATGTTCATAATAGTGCAGATTTTGCTCCTTCAGCAGAAGATTGGTGAGACTGGTGAGAGTTGAATGTGTTAGCTGCATTGTATGTATTTCAGGGCCAAGGACTATAGATGGAAGAAATATATTTAGATCACCATGTTACCTTTTATTGTTTTAGGGGGGAAAAGCAAATACCAGCATGGTAAGAAAAAAATATTTTGCATAATAAATGTAATTGTACATTGTGATGATTAATAAATCAATGAAATATAATTTATTTCATATATATAATATAATCCGGGTATTGTTGTGCACTGCCTCAGCAGATCAGCAAAGGAGTGCAGATTTTTTGTCAGTTTGATTTAATAATGCCACCATCTCTGTGATAAAATATGGTTTTGGATGTGCAATTGTATAGTACAATAATAAAATTATTTAGATTATTTTAATAGTCCTCTAGTTGTAATTCTTCCAATTAATCATTGCAGCCCAAAAAAGTTTAATTGCCAATGAAAGTGAACAAAATCCACAAACTTGGAATGTGCTTTGGTAATGTGATGCAACATATAGCAAGGAGTAATGACAGTAAAAAGTTTATTAAAAGAAAACTAAAGGCAGGACTAAAACAAAGTATTAGAGATCAAATGAATATAAATGCAGAGTGGACAGAATAACAGCGCGAACAGATTACAGTATTACTCAAGTTAGTAATAAAGTAATGATAAGATTCTAGTATGTTCCTGGCTCACCTGCACTCGTGTCTGCAGTCGGGAGAACTCAGACAGCAGCAGGTGGCACTCCCTCTCCACCGCGTCCCTGCGCCCTCTCTCGGTCCTGATGGCTGCTCTGAGGGAGGACACGGCCTCACGGAGCTGCAGGTTCTCCTCCTCCTCACGGGGCTGTTGTTTGGCCTCCACCGAGAAGCTCTCTGCACGCCCCACCACAAACTCGTCCTCGTACCTGGAACACACGCAACCAATGACAAGGTTGTTCTTAAAGGTGTCTGCATTATCTGACTTTACAGAGAATTATGGTGATACCGTCATAAATATTATAATGTAGTTAGAAGAAGAGGAAGGCAATATTTTAAAAGTTGTTTTGAATATCACGTATTGTTCATAATTTAAAAAAAACAATCTTAAACTGTTTCAAAAAGAGTTAGGATAAAAAAAACACTTGTATTGTAATGTATAAACTGATATTTCTTCACTTCTATTACTAATTTTATAGCTTTTAAATCTTTATTAACACACTGAAAGACACAATTCAATCAAACTTAACCTATAAAACCTTTCAAAATGTACACATGTTTATGATAATGTATAGATACACAACTATATAAACAAAACTAAACTGAAAAGACAAAAGCTTGATTTAAAGGTCCTATATTATACAAAATTAATTCTTGTGAGCTTAAGTTGTTACCTCCGCCAAGGAGGTTATGTTTTTGCCGACGTTTGTTTGTTTGTTTGTTTGTTTGTTTGTCTGTTAGCAACATAACTCAAAAAGTTATGGACCGATTTTGATGAAATTTTCAGGATTTGTTGGAAATGTGAAAAGGAAGAACTGATTTCATTTTGGGGGTGATCCGGAAGAAATCCTGGATTCTGGATCACTTTGAAATTTTAGTTAACATTGTGGTAAATGGGGCCAAAAATTTTGTTTCTCAATATCTCGGTTAATTATTGACCAAACCCCATGAAATTTGACTCAGGGATGGACAATGGGATCCTCTTTCATATTCCAAATTGAAAGATACGAGACAAATATTTATGGAAAACACAATTAATATGAGGGGGACTGTAGTCCTTGGCGGAGGTCTGCGCTCTCTGAGTGCTTTTCTAGTTTTATAATGTTGTTCCCTCCTCAAAAACAGACCTGTATGTGTGTTTTGTTTCATTTACACATGTTTGATAATCCTTTATTATGAGTCTAACTTCATCCCCGAAGCTCAAAATGCTCTGTTCAACCTTTTGATGTCATGAAGCAGTTGTTTTCAAGTGAACAGCTCATTTTACCTTTAGTTCAGTAGAAATGAGCAAATCCAGGGTTGAAATAATTTAAATGATTCTAGTGAAGATGTATGGAGTTTGAAATTACAGTGAAGCACATATATGACATCAAAAGAAACAGAGTGTTTTCTGTTTGAGAGCAGATCTCGGCCTAAATATGCAGGGTTTGAGTGTTAAACATGTGTGAATGAAATGTCGTGAAAATTATTTTTCTTGCAATAATCAATTTCCGAAGCATGGTGTGTTATGGAATTGAAAGCTGCTTTATTCTGTGCTGTGTCATAAGCAAGTCTCTCTGAGTGTCTCCTCTCTTCCTCCTAATCCCAGAGTCTATGAGCTCGCAGTTTTTAAACAACAATGACAATACATCATACGTTACAAAGTGAACGGGGGGGTCACACGGTAAACTGTGACCAGGCAGCCCCTGATGACAGTCATGAGTTGGTTTGACCTCAGGATTAACATGTGGATTTTAAATGGCCTCATACTTGTCCTGACCGGAACGGAAAGCATGGAATTTCTTGTACAAGTCATCGTTAAATACACATTTGCGTTTGGCACGTTGCAGGCTGACCGAATGTCTGCTCGCTCCTTCTGAGTACAGAGAGCTACATGTCCCCCGTTTGTCCCCGGACTCGGACGTTTGGTCACCCTACGCTATGCACAGTAACCAACATTCGGTTTGTCAATTAAAATGAACGTAATCGCTGAAATTCTTAATGATCAATTTTCGATTAATCGATTAATCATGCCCATCCCTAGTTTAAACAATACAAAATGTGGTACATTTCAAGGGAGAGAGATCTGAAAGACAGCTGTTTGGTCTGATTGCATCTACCTGTAAATAATACCGACATATCTGAGGAAATTAACAAACAAGATGGAACAAAAAGGTGTTACATTTTCTAGAAAAATTAAATCCAATATTCTATTTTCCATTACAGAAACAAAACATAACTCCAGGTCTGTTTGTGATGAGGAAACAACATTAAAACATAGATCAGAAAATTGTGTAATATGGACTCCTTAAAGAAGATGATAATATTAAATAGATATAGTAATGTTATCACAGATTACAGTCAAAGAAAACAAATATTTAGATTTAGACACTATCAGATTTGCATAAGACCAAAACGTGATCTTTTGGTTCTATCCACATGATGTGGATTGTGCCTCGGGTGGTGCTCACATACTTGGGTGCAGTGCAGAGTTCTCTCAAACATGGGAAGGAGTGGATGGTCTTCCTCCTCTCTCTCTTCTCCCTCCGCACTCGCAGCTGCTCCATGGACTTGAGCTGCTCCAACTGCCCCGTCAGAGCCTCCACCTGCTTCTGCAGCACCTCGATGCACCCGCTCAGGCTGATGGCACAAACATATGACAAGTAATCAGAAGTCAACAGGGTAGGAAGAGAAGCCAAAAGAAGAAAAAAGACAATACAAATGTATGAACAGGATAAGATGAAAGAACCGTTATTTGTCCCCAAACAAGAAATCGTAGTATTGCAAAAACAAATATATTAAAGGTCCTATATTATGCAAAATTTACTAGGTTGTTAACTCATCAAAAACATACCTAACATACCATTCACATGGTTTTGAGTAACCCTGCACTTTGTGATATCATATAGTGGTAGTTTTCAAGTTTAACCTTTTGTTCAGTGAAGATTGGCAATTCCAGGGCTGAAATTACCCAACTGATTCTAGTGAAGGTGCAAGAAGTTTAAAAAACACATGACATCACAAGGTGGAACAAGTGTTTTCTGTTTGAGAGAAGAATTCAGTCTAAATATGCGAAATTGGTGTATTAAACATATGTGAATAAAACTAAACGCAACTGCAGGTCTGTTTTTGATGAGGAAACAACATTATAACATAGATAGAAAATAGCGTAATATGTTCCTTGTGTAACTTTTCTGGTCCGTCGGGTCCATCAAATGCTTTTCTCCATGGAGATGTTATTACTTTGTCTGTAATGTTTCCCAGTGTGACACTGAACCTTTTTATCTTCTTGCAGCCAAGCCAGTCCAAGTTACAGGTCAGATCTTTGGAGAGGTGACACTGATCACAGTCAGAATGCCTGTTTTTCTAGGTATATTTGAGCTATAAACCAGCTCTGATTTAAAAAATGTAAGGTAGAGCTGTTTAATGTCATACTGTGGAACATTCCAAGTAGAGCAATGACATATCCATAGAAACAAGCAGGTGACGGACTCCTATTAAAAAGATTAAGTTTAAAGAGCAAGACAAGACTTTACACTTTACAAATGATTCAGTTACCGTTACTTCCAAACTACATTACTCAAGTATAAGTACTGGTATAGTATGAGGAACTGGAATCAAAGTCATTATTTCCCACCACTTCATGATAAGGCTGATAACAAATTCAACTTCTAAGAGTCGTTTTGTAATGCCACACATTTTACCTCATTAAAAACATACCTGGAGTCATGTTTTGTTTCATTCACATGTTTGAGCAATCCGGAAATGATCCTGGTAAAGTTGTATGAAGTTTAAAAACACAGTCCGGTTTTCCAATTGAGAGAAGAAGTCAACCTAAAATTGCAGGGTGTGTGTGTGTTTGTGTGTTAAACATGTGTGAATGACGCAAAACACAACTCCAACTATGTCTGTGATGAGGAGACATTATAACATAGATCAGAACATTGTGGGCCCTTAAAAGTTGACAAAATGAGATGATTGTTAACATTTTGTGTACCTTGTCTTCGTGTTTACAGTTCAAGCATCTTTTTTACCAGTCCTTTTTTTTGACTAATGTTTGGGTGAATGCATTTTCATTACTAACAGTCCATAATTGTAAATGTTAGGTTGCAAAGCTTGCCTCTCGATCTTTTGCTGGGAGCTTTTGCTGTCCTGCACCAGAGCGTGATTGGTGCGCTCCAGCTCTCGGGCCGTCCCATCCAGCTGCTCGTACACTTTGGCGTGCTGTTCATTCATGTCCCGCAGGACATCCAGCTGCTTGGACAGGTACTGGAAAACATGACACAGATGTTACGAGAGTGTACAGATAATACTGTAGGTTTGAATATGCCTGTATATATTGAACTATCTGACATGTTATCAGTTATTAGAGATGTAACAATAAACAAAATATCGTGATATCATATCGTCAAAGTTCTCACAATAATATCATGGACTATCACAATATATTGAATTACAAGTCTCTTTGCTTAAATGTGAGTTATGGTGAAGCAATAGCTAAAAAAAAAAAAAGACAGAGGGAACTACATAGACCATGATCCTTTGCTCCATTTCAGTGTAGACTACAAGAAGAAATAACAGTTCTAAGCACTTTTAAGTCTTAGTTCACTGAATTAAGTTTTGCCAAGGCATTTTAAGAGGAAAAAGTAGCATATTAACACTTTTGTTAGCCTTAGCAAAATATCACAATAAATATCGAGATGTATATCATGAAAATATCGTACGGAGAGATTTGGATATTGTTACATCCCCAATCGTGAGCCTCCCCACCATATCATGAGCTTTCACACGATATCACAATAAATATCGTACCGTGAGGTTTATACCATGACGATATCGTATCATAAGACTTGGATATCATTACACCCGTATCAATTGTCTAAATGTAATTCTGTCCATTCATACAAAAAATATCAAAAGCCTGAAACTGAATACAATATATATAGGTTTATTATAATATACCTGTAACTACAGATGGGAACAGATCTCTTGCCACCGTGAGACAAAATTGCCATAAGACTGAACCCATATGAGTTTTGTCCCCATTTGTTTACATTTGGATTGGATAAAAACAATACTGTTAAAAGATGAGCTGCAATAAAGCTATAAAGAGTCATAAAAGTTATTCATTCAACTAGGGCTGGGCGATATGGGAAAAAAAATAATCTAGATCTAGATATTCAATTCGATCTTCTTCCATCTTATTAAAAAAATAGACATGCTGACTTCAGGTATAAAGGGCAGTGTATCAGGATCACATATTGTGCTGATTGCTGAATAAGTAAAATTGGATTAATTAAATATCTTTTACTATTGTACATGTATAATTTTGATGCTTAACTTTGTACACTAATAAATCGATGTTATGTTTTATAGGCATCTAACTGTTCCTCATCTAAGGCTGTGGCGCGTACATATGCTCAATTTCTTGTGACCACTAAAACTAGTAGCACGCTGGCATTTTCGTTTTGTAAAAGTAGCTCACCAGACGAAAAATGTTGGAGACCCCTGCTATAGAGGCAGAAACATGTGGATGCATGCTATCAACAGTAACATGTGCAATGGCCCTGCACTAAATGAGGTCTCAAATTTCACTCATAAACGGTGAGAAAATTGTTGTTTACTTTCCGTAACTTGGATTATAAAGATGAGAAGCACCAGGGGAGAGAAAGCAAAAATCTTAAAATTTTTGGCACAGCCCTACATTCAACCTTCTACAGCTCAAATTTCATAAGAAATACCCCAAATTTACGTCTACTACAAGGAAAAGGTCCCCACGATAAATATTGACACCCAAAAGTTATTGTTCCATCTAACATACAGTATATGAATCAATAAGTCAATACAGTATATATCATGACAGAATTTTGTAGAATAAGAAAGGCATTACATTTTGTCTATCTTATTCTGCATATAAACTGCTAAGACTGCAGTTTATATCTGTACAAACATGTTCTAAAATGTGATTCATGTATTAGTTTGTCAGTTCATATATCAGTCTTTCTGTCAATTCTTCTGAATGTGTTAAATAACTGAACTTTGAGCAGATTCTTCGCAGTGGCAATGCTTGTTTCACCGTACCTCGATCTCCTGCACCTGCTCTTCATTGGTGATGTACATCTGCTGCAGTGAGTCCTCCAGCTCCTTATTCCTCTCCAGCAGGGTCTTGCCAAGCTCTGCAGCCAAATGCAAGTCTGGAAATAAAAAAGTGACCAATGTTGCAGTACAAGTTTTATGATGTGGGTATTTTAGTGTAATGACAAGGACAAGGACAAATGAAGGGAGGTAAAAAATAGTCATTGTCATCATTAATAAAAGTCTAATGTACTATTCTGAGTGTAGTAAGTCTGAAGTTGGTGACAATGATTAAAGATCTCACAAAGCTTGCATAATGCGTTGATTCTATTATGAGGACAGTGTAGGAGGATGTTGCATAATCTTTTAAGGACCAATATTACATTATTTTATAAATTCTGATCTATGTTATAATGTTGTTTCCTCATCAAAAACATTAACACATTTTTAATAGGGGTGTGCAAAAATATTGAAATATCTATATATATCGTATCATTTAATTTGATGATACCGTATTGATATCATGGGCTGCTGTATCGATATATCACCAAAAGTATTTTGGGGTATTTTTACTTAATAATTTTGTTACAGCGCTAGAGTTTTGTTGCTTGTTTAATGGATGGAAACTCATTTATGTGACACATTTGACACATTCACAGTTTTGATGATTAAAATGTTTGTGTTTCATATGAACTTTGCAAAGGAAGTGGTTTAACAAAGATTTTTAGTATCACAGCCATGATTTAGTCATTATTTTTTATTGAACCGAATCGAATCGATTTGAAATATATCGAATCAAAAGCTCACTGTATCGAGATATGTACCGTATCGTGGCCTATGTATCAAGGTATGTATCATACTGGCAATTTCTTAATGATACCCAGTCCTAATGTTTAACACACAAACAATGCATATGAGCTCTTCTCTCGAACAGAAAACAGGAAGTGCTCCACTGTGTTCCATAGACCTTCACTAGAATCATTTGGATGATTTCAGCCCTGGAATTGCCAATCTCCACTGAACTAAAGGCAAAAAATAACTGTTAAAATGAAAACTCCCACTACCTGACATCACAAGGTGGAACACAACATTTTGAGCTTTGGAGATCTACACAGCCTTACAAAAGTTACTCAGACAAGTGTGAATGAAACAAAACACAACTTCAGGTATGTTTTTGAGGAGGTTACTAACTAATAGCTCACAAGTCGTTTGTCTTACATTTTCCATTTGAACAGTTTGATTAGATGGATGATGCACTGTCTTGACAATAATGCAGAGTGAAGCATTTTGGAATAAAAATCCTTAGCCTACCAGGTTTTCTCATGTAGTTTGACTTTGTTGATCCACATGGGAAATTATTTGTATTGAGAATGTTGGCTATTTGAGCAACATTTGTCTTGTCTCAATACAGATAAACAGATTTAATTTTTGGATTGTAACCATTTTAAAATTTGCTTTAGTCTTGGGTGAGCCATGTTTTTTTGTCAAGGTTGAAAACTGGGCTACACAAGTGTATACTTAAAAATGAGTTAAATATGCGTCCCTGGCCTGCCCCAAAGATGCATTTTTTTCATATTGCCCAGCTCTAGGTAAGTGAGGAATAACATTGAACCACCAAATGCTACTTAAGGTATGGTTCTAATGCTGAAACATAGGTGGTTTACACCTCAAAAAGTCAATTTCCCGTAAGGCATTTTTTTCTTTGTCTCCACAGTGACTGTCTGTGAGTAGAGTATTTGTGTGTATCTGTCCTTGGTGCACCCTCCAAACCACCATGTCAGTGTCACCTTGTTATTTGTACCAGTGAGTCAGCACAACACAACTCTGACTGGATGCTAAGCATTTAAAACAGCATAGCAGATAGAGGCTAATGACTGCTTTTCTGGAGCAGTGCCCTTTACTCTCTTAATGAACAGCTATTACCATGGATGTATGCAAGACAACATGCAACTCCTGACCTGGGGCTCTGCAGTAGCTTAGCCTGCTAGTCTCTGGTCTAGAGGTTAGGTTGCAGCATGCATTTATTGTTCATCCTTGCTCTCTCTCTCCCTGATTTCTGACTGAACAGTTTTGTTTGATAAAGCTTGTAGGTCAAAAAAGACAAGTAGGAATTTAAGCATAAAAATTCACTCTATCAGTCATGCCGGCTCTTCTGGCTCCTACTGACCCTGGCTCCCATTGAACTGAAATATTGTGGCATCTCTCTCTGTAACTGCTGCTGTGAACCTCGTCACTTCAGTCTTAAAATGGTCGTATTAAACCGCACTACATGACGCTGGTGTTTTTAATTTGTCCATTAAAAAAGTCCTATTCCTAATAGCCTAGCCTGGCTCCAAATTTGCTCCTGTAACCGCTCACATCGTGAGCTTCAGTTGAGAGGAGCTGAACGCTATGGATGATGTCACACTCGCTTAGTCCACTTCTTTATACAGTCTATGGTTGTGTAATAAGTATAATGTTAAAACCTTTCTCCAAACCAAACCGATATATCAGGGAAAGATAGAGTAGAAGATAGATAGAGGGAAAGAGTACACACAAAACTTTATTTGAACAATTTAATGCAAATAGTAACTGCTCAAAATGTGACTATGTAGCCCTCTTGAAGGTTTGTGGTAAAAGGGGACTGAGGGTGAGTTTGTCGTAAATAAAAATGACATAATTTGGTGAAAATAATCAAAATTGGCCCTACATATCTGCCCAAAAATATCTGCAAACCTTATCAGCCATCAGTTGCTCTGGATTCTAAACAATAATAATCTGTTTCGGCATCAGCCATGGAAAAAAACATTTCAGTCGATCTCAGATATATTACAATTAAGATCATAGATGTAGATTTACATATAAAACTTTAAAAAAATAAATAAATAAATAGCAAAGCACATAAACATAAAGAACCTTTTGAATCTATGTACTGTATAGCTATCCTATTCTCAATAACCACCATTTAATAACACGAGAAGATAAACACAACTATGAAATGCAGCCCTAGAATTCCATTATATTTTTCATTTCCTATTATATGACTATTTTAGGGATCAGTATTGCTGAACAGATGGTTGCTGTCAGGAATATGTACTACTCTTCCTATTCCATAACATCAATAAAACATGAGCAAATGTTAAACAAGCTAGTGCAACAAAAGGGTAATGCTAAACAATGAAGTCTAGCAAACAACACAAGTGCAACTCCACATAGATTTATATTATTCACACAGGAAAAGCTGGATGGAATTTCCCTTATGATCTTCCAGGAACAACACATGACTTCCTTATATTGTTTGTGACTCTTATGTAGCCTATAGCCAATACAATAACTATATAACAAAAAGCTCTTAATTAGCTGAGCAAATGTTTCCCCAAATGAAAAACAGTCATTTTCTACTGGGAATAGTTTCACATCTGCCACCATGCAAACAAATATGTCTGACTCCAGGCTCCTGTTGGAACTGCAAACTGTTTCATGAATAAAAAATGATGAAACAGAAATATGTCAACAGTGTAGAGGAGGCATTTACTGTTAGCTTATACTGTTAGCATCTCCAACATCATGTGAAGACGGCTCCAGGAAAGGTTATTGCTACGGGGTCTAAGGAAATCATTCTTCTCTGCTTTGAAATTTATACAATATGTAGTTTGTTGGTTGGTTGATTTATGCATTTACAGAGAGAAAATGGCTTAGGAAACATGTTAAACTGTAAGCTTTCTTGCTATATTTTCTTTTGTAGGGTAGTATCCTCCAGACAAAAAGGTTAGCTAGCCATAAAATACTACAAGTAGAATACGAGCAGAGCACTGATAATTAATCAAATACAGCCAATAAAATATGGAAACCAAAAATGACATAATGCAGAAATGAATACATTAGTACAGAAATGTAAAAGCAAGCTTTTTAATGCTCAAAATGTATGCATTATTATAGAAATAATTTATTTGTATCCAATTATGTCATTTTCAGTCCTCCCTAATAAAAAGTATGGCCTAACTAACCATAACTTTCATTAACAGCTAATAGAGTTAGGCATGCACTGATACTGATACTGGTATCGAATATTGGCACAGATATTGAAAAATTGGGTGGATATGAGATATCCATGACATCAGTTAAGCTTCAGTTATCCTGCTTGGGCCTTTAACTGAATGTAATAAGACTATTTGCAGGCTGATAATGTTTGCACTTTTATTCATACAAAGCCGTTCAGTAGTTATCTGAAGGATAAATAACAATTCCATAATACTATAAGATCTCTTGTATTATAAGTTAACTGTGTGCAATTTTCCATCCCTACACTGGTATCGGCTAATATTGGGTATCGGCAGATACTTTCAGTATCAAACTGAAAAAGATGGATCAGTGTTTAAATATATATGTACAAAATGTAATATAGTAGTCCATTAATCCTCTTGAACCTCCTACAGAGAATTAGCCAAAAAACAATATTTTCTCCATCTCTTCTGTCCAACCCACGAACCAAATCCCACAAGAACTACTGGACACAGGCCTGTAGTGTCCACATGTACGTGTCACTCTGTGCAGAGGGAAGGCACAGTGCATTCCAAGTGCAGCACAAGAGCCAAGAGAACAGCCCCGAAAGCAGAGGAGGAGGCCCTAACAAAGACACAAGCAGGGAGAGAGGAGAGGACAGCCAATCAATACAACTCACCACACAGACAAACAGCTAAGCAAGTCAATACTGCGTTTCCTCCACAGAGGAAACCACACCAACTCTGAACAGCTGACAAAAAAGAAGCAAAGGATTTTTATCCTTAAAATCAAGTTTCAGATCAAATTACAATTACTGACTTAAAATATTACTCAAGTAGAAGTACAAAGTGTAAGAAATTGCTAAAGTCTAAAAATCTGGTATTTTCAAAAGATAAACCACAACAGAAAGAATAACTAAACCATATCTGTACGAGTGGTGCAAGAAACTCAAACGTTCACATAATTTAATATTGTAAACATAAGACTTTGCCACTTGAAGATTTACAGTGGGAAGAGTAACCAATAGTTTTTCTCAAGTAAGAATACTGCTTAAATAAATGTACTTGAGTAAACATAAGTACTACCCACCTACCAGATGCCTAAAGGTCTTTGCTATCTTTCCATCTTTAAAAAGAGGGTATCATGCAAAATCTACTTTTTGGATCTTTCTACCTGAAGAGGTTTTAGATGTCATCCATGCATGTTTGAATAATTTGTGATCTCTCCTGGGCACTAAACAAACCCTCTTTACGGTTAACAGTACGAGCCTGTACGAGATAACACAGTGATCTAAATATGTTATGTGGAAATAAAATACCCAT